CTACTTTGTTATTTCTAGAAAACTCGTACCATCAGACGATCTACCAGACGCTCTACTAGACGCTTACCACCAAACAACTCCTTACCAGACAACTCCTTACCAGACGCTCTACCAAATGATTATCATCGGACAACTCCTTACCAGATGATCTATTAGACGCTTCCCACCAAACAACTCCTTACCTGACGATCTACCATATGCTTACCACCAGACAACTCCTTACCAGACGATTATCACCATACAACTCTTTACTAGATGATGTACCAGATGCTTCCCACAAAAAAACTCCTTACTAGATGATCTACTAAACGCTTACGACTAGACAACTCTTTACTAGATGATTATCACCGGACAACTCCTTACTAGATGATGTACCAGACACTTCCGACCAGACAACTCCTTACCAGACGATCTACTAGACACTTACCACCAGACAACTACTTACAAGACGATCAACCAGATGATTATCACCATATTTTAGTACAATAAGAGGCCAAATAAGTCCTAAATGGCCCCAAGACAAGTCCCAAAACTATAGACTTCCCCAAAACCATGATCTTAGAATTTTACTTGTAAAAACCCTAATTTTATGCCCCAACTCACCATTCTTCTCATTTATTCCAAACCAAAGTTTTGTAAAAATACATCAACTTAGATTTATTAAATGTACATTCACAAATTCATCAATAAACAACTTTTCACATCAACAAACCAACTACACACCAACATGCATAAGTTTTCAATTCAACACACCATCCTTTTCAAGCACCTAACATACTAAATTTCATGATTTAATTATAGTTCACAAATCAATCATCACATCATCATACAAACATCAAATATCATATCCATACAAAATCCAAACCAAATAAACTAGCTTTCCTCACCCGGTTGACACTCTAACGATTCTAATAACTCCAAAATTCCTCCTACGGCTCTAAGATCTCTATTTGCTCTTTATAACTGAAATCAATAAGCTGGAAATGAAGATCTCACCTCAAGAAACCCTCAGGCGGTCTCTTATCTTCCGATAGATGAGTAGGGAGTTAGAATTTCTAGAGAGAAGGTAAATGAAATGTTAAAGAAGGAAGTTTTAAAGAGATAAAAATTCTTAGATAATGAAATTTCGTATTAAAAAAATTTTATTTATACTATTGATATTTTTGAAATAAAATAATGGAGTATCATTATTTAAAACACTTTACCATATCTAATACTCAATTTTTGAGGGTCTTACATTCTCCACAAAAACAAAAAATTTTAACCTCAATAATTGAACTTACTAGGAAATAGGTGTGAATATGACTTCCTCATATCCTCCTCTAACTCCCTAGTAGAGTCACTTGTTCTCTCATCCTAGACTACCGTGACTAAACTGATGGATTTTCCTCTAAGTGGTTTCATTTGGCAATCTACAACACCAACAAGCAACACCTCCAACAAAAGGTCTTCCTCAACTTACAAATTCTGAACTTCCAATACGTGAGATGAACTAGGCATATACTTTCTCAACTGAGATACGTGAAAAACCGGATGAAGATTAGCTACTTGAGGAGACAAAGCAATTTCATAAGCTACCAAACCAATCCTTCTCAAAATTAGATATGGACCAATGAACTTAGGAGATAGTTTCCTCGAACGAATAACCTTTCCCACATCAGTTGTCAGAGTTACTCTAAAAAATACATGTTCCCTTACTACAAACTCCAAAGGTTTCCTCCTCTAATCGACATAAGACTTTTGTTGACTCTAAGATGCATTCATCCTCTCTTGTATCATCCTCATCTTATCGGTAGTCTGCTTCAATAATTCTAGCTCGACCAAAACTACCTCATTTAATGCCTCAATTTCAGGGTGTCACAAATCATATTTAAAGTAAAATGTTTCAAAATTCTCTTAATGTGAAAAACGATATTAATTAAAATTTTGACATTTTAAATGTTACGAAATTAAAACAAAGTCCTAACTTTACCAAAAAAAGTATAATCCAATGACAAACTTCTGAAATTACTAAATTAACCAAGAAATAAAATTAGTCCATTTACATTATTTCTAAAATGCATAACTAAAAATATTAAATACACCAAAGTTGCTTCCCACTCTCTCGTCTCTATCATGCCTTAGGAGCATCTATCACATCCCTTGCTTCCGTAAAATCAAGGGTTATACGATCATCGCAAAATACACACATAATCACAACACAAACAAATATGAGTAACTACCATATAACACGAGCAATAACAATATAATATATACATAACAAGCAAACACAACTTAATAATGAATAGTTATTTACAATGTTATCCTTACTAACTTAATCATTCCTACATCATGATCAACACCAACATCCTCATCATTCATACCATAATTATACCATCAATGTTATCTTTATCAATACTGTCTCCAAACACATCGTTATCATGAATCATCAACATATGTACTTCCATCAAGACTATCCCCATCCTCATCATGAGCATTACTAATCCATGAACCTCATCATGAAAGAATTAGTCACACTCTTGTACCATACCTCACCACACCTGTGGCCTCCCCTACTGGCCCGCTCGAGCCGTCTCGACATCATGTCAAAAGATATATTTCCCTACTACACAAGGACTAGGCGAAACATCGTCCCCCATACAAAGAAGGTTCAACACTCGAACATCCCCTCTTTTCGCATACAAGGCCAAAAAGGGTCATTATCTCGTAACATACAACATATAGTCTCAAGATTACTAGGTATAACAAGTAGACACATTCCCCCATGTCTCATGCTCATCAATCAACCACACGTTCTAGTACAACTCTAATACTCACTTATTCCAACATCAAACAAAGTTCATCATATACCTAAACACAAAAACTATTCCCATTTTCTGTCTAACATTATTCATTCATCATTATTTAAAGTCTCGTTCAAAATCCAATGTGCTCAATATGGACTCCTCATGCATTTCACTCAAACAATAAATTATAAAGCAAATAAATAAATATCATTCAATATCAAACCAAAAATAATAAACCATTTATTAATCTAATTAATCATTATAACCTCATTATTTTCCTTTTTAAACCCAATTAATTTTTATTTCCAATTTCATTTTTAATTAATTTTATTTCCAATTATTTTAATTTTAGCGATATAAGTTTTATTTTGAATTTTTCTTGTCTTATTCTTATTATTTTTTTCTCACCCATTGCAAATTCAATATCCAACCAAAATACATTGCAAAATAAAGATTACAAGGACAAAAATTCCAAAAATCAATTTGAAACGAACACCTTACATCCCAATTTACAAATATCAAATACAAGAATTGATTTATTTTTTAAAACAAGTGTTTATATAGATAAAATACGAGTTAAAAATATCATATAATTATTTTAATTTTTATTACATTTTCTTTTGTTTGACAGCATTAGATGTTTTTTTATAGTAGTAGGTAACAAAATAAAACATTATATTAAGCATTGAGCTCGAGTTATACAATTTTATAAGTGAAGAATTTAAATTTAACACTAGCTTGGTTGTATTTCCATCAAGATTGTTAAATAATTGTAACTGAACAAAAGTTATTTTATAATTATAAGTAATTTAAACTTAATTTAGTATAACATCTCTTAAAAAATCTTATTTAATACACTTTTAATTTATGTTATTAAAGTTTTACGCATTTATTGAGCTTTAAATAAACTAATTAATAAATTATTTTTTAAAATTTTTATAATATGGACATACATAACATTTGTGCACTATGTGTACAATTTTGATAATAATAGACATAAATGAGTAATTTTTAAATATAAGACTAAAAAAACATACAAACTCTAATGATTAAAAAAAATAAAGAATTTATAACAATTTAATTCCATTTTTAATTCCTATAAATATATTTTATCAACTAAAAATATTTTTTTATAAAGAGAAATAGTTCAAAAGAAAAATTATTTGTTAACAAAAATTAAAAAAAAAACCTTTTTTTTAAAACCATCCAATGAAATTTACTTGAGCAATTCTTAGTTATGTTTTTATTTCACTTTTAGCTTCTGTTTATGGCAGGAGATTTAGGATACTGAGATTTCTCATTATTATCTTATCTGCTCTTAACATAGATTATTGTTTTAACATACTGAGATTTAACATAGATTATCTTATCAGTGGACAGAAACACAGTGTTGTGTGTTCTGTCAACATCATTTGATGCACTAATACCCATCAAGGTATAAATTCTTCATTAATACCATTATCCTCTTAACATTTCCTACCAAATTCTTGATAAAGGCTTCTTTAAATATTTATACCCAACTTAACATAATTACTAGTCTTAGTAATAATTTTCTGAAGAGTTAAACCTTTTCTTGGTTAGTGTTAAATTATATTTTTGGAAAACATAATTTTTTTACCCCATCCTTTCATAAAACTGAGCATGCATTTACATTAAAAGATTACATCAATAGCAATGACATCACATCTATATAAATCTATTTTTTAAATAATTTATTTACTGTCATTCTTTATGCAAGAATGAAAATATCAGTTCCTTGCAAAACGAAAAAAAGAAATATAATAGAATTAGGATTTTCTTTAAGAAATATATCTTACTCATAGTTATGTGAATTCTTAAAAAGGTACATCATAATCAGTGATTAAATACCAGACTTGCATATATTTTGTCTATGATCATGTGCATGTGCAGTTCAAAAAATTAATTGTACTAGGTGACTTGTATTATGCATATATCAATTCTGATTGGTTTGATATATGCTTTTTTTACTATTGTATTTTTTAATTTTATAATAATAATAATAGTATAGAAATTTTTATGATTGAATTCTTTGGAATGGTAGACAATCCAAATCTTCACACAAATCAAAATAAAAATAAAAATAATATATATATATATATATATATATATTATATATATATTATATATATATATATATATATATATATATATATATATATATATATTATATATATATATATATACCATCTTCATTCGTCATCTTCTTCTGCCAACCATCTTCTCTCTATTTTTATATTTTTCTTTGTAAGTGTTTTCTTTCATTATTTTGTGTGAAATGTGTGGATTCTGTGTGTGATGCAGTTTCAGGTTATGTTAAACTGCATGAGACTATGATTGACCATCATGCTTTGTTCTTTTATTAGTTTCTGCAGCAGTAGAGGGTGTCAATTTAACATGTTTTATGATCTGGGGCATGTGTTTCTTCTTTTGTAGTTTTCTTTTTCTGCTAGTGTGCACTTGTTTTGAGCCTTTTTCATTTCTCGGTCTAGATCTCTGGAAATTTAGGTTGTGGCGATGACACCTTTTTGTTCAATTGTTTTCTTTTTTTTGACAATTAGAGAATCCACTTGCAAATTGAATTCATGCGGGTTAGCCGTCGTAGCTTATAGATTATTTTTAGAAAATACTTCAGCTTTATAATATGTATAGGCATATAAGTCTTGTAGTCAAACAAAAAGTAAAAATTGAAGTAATCGCTTGTCTATATTCTTATTTTCTGTATCGCTTGTCCAGAAATTTGTTTTCTAGATATGAAGCTGGATCTTGAACTACTTAGAAATTTCCTTTGTGTTTTAGGTTTAGGAAGACTAAATGTTAAAGCTGTTTGTGTTTTGAGTTTCACTAACTTTATTATTTCTACATGAGATGATTTTGATGCTTTTTTTTGTCTTTTGTGGTTACAAAATAGAGCTATTGGACCCTCAGGAACCATGGCTCTTTCTGATGGTCAGAAGAATAGAGGAGAGTTGAGGATTCATGAGAGTTTGGACGAGCTAATGACCGATTTGGCAGACTATGTTGCTGAGTTATCAGAGGCATCAGTTAAAGAGCGAGGAGTCTTTGCCATTGCTTTATCTGGTGGTTCTCTCATTGGCTTAATGGGGTATCTGTATCTTATCTTTTTCATATCTTTCTTTGCTTTTATGATTTATTGTTGATTTAAAACTTAAGTTTGGTTACAGAAAACTCTGCGAAGCTCCGTATAACAAGACCGTGGACTGGTCCAAGTGGTATATTTTCTGGGCTGATGAGCGTGTTGTGGCAAAAAACCATGCTGATAGCAATTATAAGCTTGCTAAAGATGGCCTTTTGTCCAAGGTTGTGCCCCATGTTTCCCACTGCTTTATCCAGTTTTTAGTAACAAAATGGTTTACTCTCATAACAGTTTAAACTGTTCCTTTCTGTACCTTCTCCTGCTGATTGCTTCTTAAAGAGGAAACTCTAACAAATTAAAGCAGTGATATCATCTAACAAGGAGAGCTTTGGTTTCTTCTGGTCTTCTGGTCTTGACAGTTTGCTGAGAAAATTTAATAGCTGTTTTAATTTGAGTGAACACAAAAAGCTTCGTAAAATTCTTTTGGTCACATGAAGCATTATATTTTTGCTTCAAGGTGCCTATTTTTGAATGTGTGTAGTCAATAGAGAGATGCTTCTTTTAGTAGTTTGGATTTTATTTTACTATTTATGAGATTTAGCATTTATTCTGACGTGGAAGTTAAACCTTAGTAAGGTAGTAGTTTACCCTTTATAATTGACTGGATTAACAGGCATACGTTGTAGTTTACTACAAATTTCTTCTGCATTCTCTTTCTTTTTTGAAGGGTGGAACAGAAGGCATATACATATATCCACATAAGTTTAAATTCTCAAAAGGCTACTATCCAAATTGGTCTTTAGTTGAGGAATGGATTGTGCTTGTTCTGAAAGATTGTGATGGTGAATATTCCTAGTTTATGCACTAAGACAGTTTGACAGGGGCATAAAGTCATTCTTTTACAAAATCGTAGAGGAGTCTTTCCTGAATATTCTGTCTATATAGATGAATGTTATGGTTTTTTAAATTTCTTTTACATGTTAAATCCTTGATCAGAAGTTTATATGATTACTCATGCACCTTTTTGTTTAAATGTTTGTACTAGTATGTTCCACTGAGATAGTACACTTGAGGGGATGACTTCTCCAGTGATTTCTTGAGTCATGTCCATGGTTGGATCTGCCATAGAAACTCCACCAACAAAGTCAGTGACTGGAAAATATATCTCAGAGTAGGACTACTTATTACTGACCACACCTGGAGAGGCCAGGAAGTGCCCTGGTTTTACTCAGTCTCTTCTTGCACAAGTTAGGACTGAGACTTTTTTCTTGAAAAGATTAATTATGATAGCACCTGGTGCTGATAAGCATAAGATAGCTGGCAAACCCAAATGGGCCTCCAAATCGATCCAGGTGATCACTTACACTACTACTCTGTATTTAGTAATGGTGAGTTATGTTATGGGTTGTGCAAACTGCCAAGATGAACTGAGATTCACCAGTTAGTTCTCTTGAAAGATCATTTTAGTTGAGATATAATGTGTTGATATGGTCTGGTGTGTCCAAGGGACTGATATCATTGTAAAGGTTTCCAAAATTTCATGGAATTTAGGTTGACTGTAGTTAACCTGGTTTGGAGTATTTGTGGCATTGTTACAAAAACAGGATGCCTGGTGGATACATCAGCAAAATGTTGAGGGTTCCAGCTAGTTGTGAGACTAGATCCTTGGAAAATCCTGATGGAAAAGAGGTAGGTCATTTGCTACACCAATCCTTGTTCATCGTGCGTTAGCTGTTTCAGAAATATAAATTAATTGAGTCCCATATCTTGAGGGATCTGGTTTAAAATTTACGGTGAGACCCCAACTTGATTATTTGATTTGGCAGTCATTGGTTTTCCCTGTTGATTCTCTGGCATTCTTGCATATCCTCGGATTCATTATTAAATTATCAATATCAAACCAGATCTGCACTTTACTTCAATTTTTTGAATTGCTTTGAACTTAATGGAAGATGCTCAAGAATCCAAACTCGCCAATTGCTCCAGGAGAATTCTTCTGGACAACCTTGGGTTGAAGCAAGATAGATGTGACGGGAGTTGTCCTATTCCTGTTGTTGACTGAAAAACTAAAATCTGTCTTGGTATGTCTCAGGGACTGTGCTTGCTGAAAACATGTTAGTCTGAAACAATAGGTTGGAAATCAGAAAATTTTTACATGTTTAGCCCCTGAAGTTGAATCCTTGTTTGTGAGGGAAATGAGGAGTTTTAGCAATAACTGATGGATTTATTGGACCTATATTGATAGATGACTCAAATGTTTGCTGAAAATCATGATCAGATATCACAAAGGATCTTCATGCATTTGAGTAAGAGCTAATGGTTGCATGTAGAAACTACATGAGTTATGAAGGTATTGACTGAGAGATGCATATTATCACTTGAAAATAATAATTCCTGTTAATTAGTAGTCCTACGGTGGACGCTTTCTCATTAACTTTATCCAAACTATCAGCTGAAATATTAAAGTTTCTCTTCATTATTGCACCTATTGTTTAATTTTCCACTTTTGTGTCTTCAGTTTCATTACATACCTTCAAGGTATAATACTTTCGTGTTTGAGCATTTTAACTGCTTGATGCCATGTTGTGGGTGTTCCTAACATCTAATTTTCTAATTGCAACTGCTGTGTAATTTGATTCATTCGAGTCTGTGAAGCAAAATCTTTCCCCTCCTGACATCTGCATCCTGCAGAGATTAAGTACCCCATTCTGTTTCATTCTCAATTTTGCTTTGAATTTACTTCATTGATGGCTTTGAAGTATTGGGATAAACTTAAATTTAGGGTTTTATTAATAATTTTGTTTAAATCTTATTTTATTAGTTTTTGGGTCTAGTAATATTTAGTTTAATTTTGATTGAGATAAAATAGATATAGGTAGTTTTGATTTTCCTTTTATTTAGGAGAGTATTATTTTATTTTATTGATATAAGATAGAGATAGATTAAGTAGATTTTATTTTAAGTTAGTTGATATTCTATTGTCAGTTTCTATTATTTGTACTTGGCCCAAGGTCCTATTTGTACCTATTTAAAGGTTGTCAAGGTTCAATGAAAAGTAACCCAGTGAATTGAAGAGTATTATTATTTGTGTGGGTCAAGTTTTTTCCAACATGAAGGACTCCTGATTTTCCGGAAATGGGAGCCAATGACCTTCATAATTTTTTAAGATGGATCCATATTTTGAAAGAGAGAGCTTTGGGTCCCTAATACCTGCTCAAAGTGAATCTCTGGATATGTTGTGAGGCTCAGGAGAAGATGCTGAATCAAATTCGGTACAATCTCTTATCGAGTCAGTTTACATTCATGTAGCCAATGTGTTAAAAAAGTTCATTGGCTTTAGTGGAGTTGCAGTTCATAAAACTTGCCAATGCCAAATATGTGAAAGGAAATCCCTCGTTATACTACCTCAGAAACCATAACTGGTGATACTTTTAGAATTTATTGATTCTCCAGCAGACAATATTATCGGTAAATACAATTTCTGCAGCAAAAGCTTTTCGTTGCAAATGAACTTTTTTTTTTTTATATATTGACAATATGAGAAGTAGAAGCAGAAAGTTCTAAAAAGAGTTATCACTTGATTTCGAAACATTTTACAGTAACACTCATTTAGTATTGGGCTTTTTATAACCTATCCTCCAAGGTGGATGAGACCAAATAGCTCTTTCTTGGATGATCGTTTACGGTTCATGTACTGGGCTATTAAACTATTCGCGTTACCAAATACCAATTACAATGGTGGGGATTCCTACAGTCCTAAGAGGATTGATCATATCGTTATAAGAAAGAGGAATACAAGCAACACATAAGAAATCTTTCAAATTGGAAGAATATTGCACCTGAAAGTTTGTTATTTCTTTCTACAAAGAGGTAGTACATTGCCTGTCGGTTGCATGTGCCTCCAACTTTTCCATTTTCCTTCCATGTATGGGAAGTTGGTTGTCAGGTTTGTTTTTTCAGGATAAAGGTCTCAATTGCCGAGGACCCACAGTTATTCTTGAACGTTGTGGCATTATTATACTTAAAATGAGTTATTATGCTTTAGTAATGATTTCTTAATGACAGCAATATGTAGGGGTGAATTTGAAATAAATCCTGTACAGCAAGTGTATGGTGCTATCTGCAGGATTGCCATGCAAAAAGGCATCTTGATCTACATGTCTAATTTTAAATTGGCTGAAATTTATTTCTTGGTCTGATTTATCCTCTATGCCATCTTGGAATCCCCAATGAATTGAGATGTTTTTTGCTGGGAGTCATAGTAGAGTTTGAGTTATAAGTTTCGAAGCATTAATAAAATCTTAGTGAAATACGAGACATCCACCTTGATGGTCATAAATTACTGAGGGATAGTGTGGAAGAGGGGGTTCTTAGCAGATTACATATTATACCTTCAGCAGACTATGTATGTATACATGTATGTATACATGTATGTATGTACTGTGTCAAAATTGCTTTCAGCATTCAAGAAAACTATTCCCTTATTACAGGTTAAATGGAAATATAAGATGCATTATGATTTCCCGGGGGTGTACGACTTGCTTTTGATGTATTTATCCCAACAGTTTTTTAAATGAATACAGAAAAGAGGTGTGGTTCAACTGTTGTCAAAGGTTTTTTGTTTTTTTGTGTAGTTAGATGATTTGGTTGTTCTCCATGATTTACGTTTTATAAGGATAGCTGTTGGTCTAATGATATATACTTTTGCAGTTGGGGAATTGGAATATTTCTATATTCTAGGATCTACAACATTGAATATTAGGCGTTAGGTTTATGTCTTCACTATTGTCCTTCCGTGCATTTCATTTCTTAAATGTTTTCCTGTGTTGTTGTTGCTATAATTCCAAGGTGTTAATTAAGAAAATATAAATGTTCCTGAATTACATTTTTTTCTTCTGTGAAACACGTGACAACACAAGCTTGTTGATAAATTCCTTGACAGGAAAATTATAATTCAGGATTTGCTTGCTTTCTTTCTATTTAAATATTGAGTTCAACAAATGCAGCATGTGAACCTATGATATAGGAGTCTAGATTCTCTTCTGGATTTTTGGTATTGTTCTTCTGCTGAGTTTTCAAAATACACTGATGTATTAAAAAGGTTTTAATATATTTTAAAACACAAATACTTTGAAGCCACGGCAGAGAGACAGCACCAAAAACTCAGTAGAGAATCCGATATAGATCTTTAGCTTAATGTGAAAAACAATCTCCTTTTCTGTCTCTGTATGTCTATCTCTTTAATATTCCATGAGATTGCTTGACATCCCTTTATATTTCTCTGCTGATATAATTATTACATTAGCAGGTTCCTATTGTCCCCAGTCATGTGCATTCTATTAACGATTCTGTGTCAGCAGAAGAAGCTGCTGAAGATTATGAGTTTGTGATTCGACAGTTCGTGAAAACCCGTGTTGTCAGTGTCTCAGAGATTAGTGACTGTCCAAAGTTTGATCTCATTCTGCTTGGATTGGGTCCAGACGGCCACATTGCCTCATTGTTTCCCAACCACTCAGCACTGAATGAAAGGGAAGAATGGGTAACTTTCATTACTGACTCTCCCAAACCCCCACCCGAGAGAATCACATTCACCATGCCTGTCATCAATTCTGCATCAAATGTTGCAGTAGTTGTCACTGGTGACAGCAAAGCAGAATCTGTGCACTTGGCAATAGATGATCTTGGACCTGACTGCCCATTAATACCAGCCAGAATGGTCCAACCAGCTATGGGGAAGTTGGCGTGGTTTTTGGATAAACTTGCTGCCTCAAAACTTGAAGAATCCAATTTAAACAAGTAGGAATTGTTGTAAGTTTGTATGTAGTGTTAAGGGATTTGGCAGTTGTTGATTATCCTCAGATCCTGTCTCTGCCTATCTCTCTTCTCTTGGATAGAAATCTTTGCTTCTTTTTTTTTCTCCTTTTCTTGCTTTCTCTTGGGAGGTTTTTGAGGGAAGTGTGGTATAGTTTTTGTAAGCGGCCAATAAAAGTGGTGGAGAGCATCATTCCATGTTCCAACACCCTTCTTTCCTTCTGATTCCTCATTTGGGTTATTGGCTATGATGATGGCCACTTGTTTGCAATTTAGAAAGAAAAATCGGGTTCATGTAATTCTAAGAGTTCACTTTCCCACACCCTCCCAGTTTCTTACTTATCTATTTCAATTCAATTTCAATATATATAATAGTTTCTACTTTGAGTGCCCCATCATGTTGTGTTAAATGTTATTATATTTGAGGATTTCTCTGGCTATTGAGAGAGGATGGTACATGGCATCAAATATCTATTTTTTTATTCTTCTTTTGGAGTTTTTCTGGTTATTGATGGATGCAACCTGCACCATCAATGATTCACATGATTATGTGGGACCAAATTTAGTGCTTGTGAGATGATGGAAAAGACAGTTGAATATATTTGTCATTAAGTACATATATCCATTTTGGGCATATGTTCATATTTACTAAGTTTGGAGAGTTGGAAAATGGAAAAGATGACTTTTTAAGGAATGTAATAATTTAATAAAACTAAGGTGATTACTTATATTTTTCTATCAGTTTGGAAAACATCCAGGGCTAGGGCATTCAAGCTTTGGAAAACAATAGAATATATATTCTTAATAGAATCTTGATATCATATATTTTTTTATTTCTATTGGTAATGGATGAATAGAAGTTAATGGAATTCTATTGAACAGTTTTAGGACCCACTTCCTTAAACTTTATAAAGAAAATGCTTTTACAGTCGGAACTTTTTAAAAGCAGTTATTTTTAAATTCTGGAAATGATGTTTTCTAATTACTTATTTTTAAGTTTGGTTTTTGAAATCAATCTAATGCTGTATAACTTTTTAAAGACATCTTTGTTTCCACTGAAAGCCAGCCTTTATCTTCAAAAATCTCGATATGCTATCTAGTTTGAGAAAAAAATGAATTATAAAAATTGGGTATGGACAAAATTTTGCATCTTTGTTATCCTCAATATAGGTATTAGTATTGATATTTGGATATAATTTTAATTATTTTTCTTAATAATTACTATGAATTCTACTTAGTTTGTTTCCATTTATTAAAAGAAGTTTGTGAAACTTGTTGAATCAATGACAATCACAATACTTCATCTGAGTTCAGTCTTTAACTTAGGGATCTAGAAAAAATATGAAATAGAAAAAAAGGGATTATTAAGGAAATAAAAGCATGTTAGTCATCTTCTCTAAGTATTAAAAAAAAGTGTGTCTAAGTCCTCAAAAACTTAAAGCACGAAATTTATTTTGATACCTAAAACCTTGATAATTATTGTGCATGATCATGCTAGATGTGTGTTAGTATTTTGGAGTTTAATTTAGTCTCACATTGTTTAATATTGTGAGATGTTGTTCTCTATTTAGCTATATAAGCAATTTTTTGTAAAGCTCGAAAGATACACTAAAAATAAACCACGTTAAATTCTTGTGTCGTTTATTTCTCTCTTTCCTTTTTTATTAGATAGATGACTATATGTATCTACCCTTAAGAGGACAGAAGTCATATGACATGGAGCAGTCAGATCCGGACGACTATATGTATCTACCTTTAAGAGGACAGAAGTCATATGACATGGAGCAGTCAGATCCGGCTGACATTAACCAAGAATATTGCGTTCAACATCATGAAAGAGAAAGCAACCTCGTGGAAGGAATATTTAAATTATCTTAGGCCTCAATTATTAAGCAATGTGACACTATTAGCCCCACGATGGATGCCACTATTCTAATCTCAAGTTTGTCGAGTGACATTAGGGTCAATTACCATACATCTAAGGTATTGTTCGTTTTGGAGCCTTGTTCGTCACGATTTTGTCTTTAAAAAGTGTCTCGGTTGGTAGAAGGAGGAAGGAGTATTTAAAATGTGCTTGACTTCGACTCCTAAGCAATGTGAGACTATTAGGTGTGATAGGAACATAAGCCCCCATTCATGGTCTAAGGGGAATGACTGGTCTTCCCTAGTGAAAAGCTTAAAGGACCGAATGTTCCATTATCGGCCCCACGGTGGATGCTAAATGATCTTATCGGGATCTTGAGTGCAGATTTGCGGGCATGTAACAAGATCCTAGCAGAGATGGGAGAGATCCGTTTGGAAAAAACTCTTTAATACTCAAGTCAGTTAAGGAGTGACAATCTTTATGAATAAAATGAGTATGAGTGTTTATGAAATGTGTATTCCTTAGTTATATTTATATTATCAACATAGGTCGTGAGTCTATATTCATATTGGAATAATACTTACCTGAAACATATAATAACAATGTATTAAATAATAACAAAATGATAAATAATAATCATCACACCAAACTGTCAGAGATTTAGTTACAATATGTGAATACAATTCAAATAAACGTAAGTTTGGACTACTTCATATAAAGAGAGTTGAAGAGCTTTATTGGGTCGTGATCTTTAATATGTCTATTAGACCATAAAAGAACAATTAATATAAAAATCTTGTATTTTTTTTATTAGAAATACGAATTATTAACAATTGGTATAATATGCCAATAACTTCAATTAATATATTGAGGTATAATTATGAAATTATAAAATAAATAGTATAAATGATATAATAGTTAAAATAAATTACAACAACAATCATAAACTTAATTTCTATCATTTTCTTAGGTAGAAAAATAGCTTAACTGGCTAGTTGGAATTTCAAAACTTTGTAACAATGTTTTCTCAAGTGAATTCTTTTCTATAAAATAAGTAAAAAGAAAACCTAATAAATATTTTAAGGACAAAATACTAATAAATATTAAAAAATAGTTTGAAACTAGAGTTTCAAGAAAACATTACAAGTTAGTTAAAAAGAATCTTATTAACTTTAAGCAACAGGGCCATAAGTTTTTCAACTCCTGAAAAAAAAATAAGTTAAAAAAATCAACTGAAATAACATGCGAAACAGTCTTGGATAACAAACGAAGACTCTAAGGATAAAATATGTATGTTATAAAGTTGAATTAAAATAAAAAAAATACACTTTTTTTTTCATGTTCATGAAATGTTAATAATAAATTCGTAAATGTGCATAAACCCAATTCTTTGCAGGACTCAACTCTACCACATTCACAGCATTAACTAGTCCGAATCATCCGACAGTTCCAATCTATGAATGCATCAATATGTGAATGTCTGCCAAATAATTCCTAATTGGGACTCCGTTTGTAAGCATTATCACAGTTTCAGAGGTTGCGATATTATTATTATAATCCTTTATGATTCTTTGATTCATAGAAATTAATTGAAATATTTAAAACTATTCACAATTCAACTAAGTGAATATTCATAGAAATTAATTGAACACAAGAAGATATTTAAAACTATCCACACACTATTCAACTAAGTGAATTACCACTTTATGATTGGACAAAATTGGACAAATTTGTTGATGAAAAGAGTGATGCTAAAGAAAAATTGCAAACATCAGAACATTCTACTACAAACCGACGAATGATAGGAGTATAGTATCAAAAGTCAGAAAGACAAAGCAAAATACATAACTTTGCCAAAGAGAATCTTTGATCATAATGCCATTGATAGAACAAAAAAGAATGGGAAATACAACAACATTGGATAAATGATTTTAAAAGTAGAAAACACAGAAAGAAACAAATAATTCTCAGTTTTCTATACAAAGGGTGAATGGTCCCTGTGAGAAACATAGGCTACAAAACTGATATTACTCATCAGAAGGTCCTCCTACTGTCCTGTATTCTCTTTCTGAAATTGACTTGATTCCATTTGAATCAGGAATTACGTCGTTCATATCTTCACGAGGAGGAAAGCCCCTAACTCGGCCTTGTATCCATTGATCTATAACCCCACAATTGATTGCATACTTGATGGAATGTTCCAGATATCCTTTATCAGTTATTAAATCAAGTTGAACTGACAACTTCCGCAATAGGGCTGCAAAAACATTAAGAGAAAGTAGAAGTGAGACTTAGTTTCACAGCATGTCTGCTCCTATCTTTACTTATGCCATATGCAAGTCTTTCCAGAAGGTATTGGTCACAACATTTTATAAAGTGGACATGGTCTAATGGGTTCTAAACATGTTTCCAAAAGCATGCTTGGATAATGTTTCATCTTTAAAAATGCCAGATTACATATGTTTTTGTTACAGAATTCATTGAGTAAAGTCAAATGTGGTTTTTACCTCCTAAAATCAAGGTCAAAGGAACTTTAGTTTTATCTTTTACATATGTCGTTGCTCTGTGCTGAATACAATATGCAATTAGTTACCTCGATATTGTTTAAATGAATGAGTTTAATCAAAATTAATTCCTCAAGAACAAATTCATTACGGGGATTTTCAGTGCGACAAGACAGAAGGATTGTCCAAAGTCTATGAAATTTTACATCTCCCACCAAATTATTATTTTCTTGATAGTGTCAGACATTGAAAAGAGTTTTCCTTTCTTATTTTTCAAATGGACTATGCCTTCCTATGGAAACACAAATGAAGGATTCAATTGAAATGTAAATTTACTGTAATGTACCTGCAACGATGCCATCTCCAGTTGCTGACATGTCACAAGTGAATGGGGTAATTGGGGCATCCTCCATTCCAAGAACAGCACCATCGTGTTCTTTTGTGTAATAATGTATCTTGGAAGTTCCATTAGTCACAAATAAAACCTTAAGATTTTCATGCCAAAGTGGAGCAACCACTTCGGGTTCATAATGGATAAACTTCAAACTATCATTGTTTTTGGTGTCAAATTCTTCAGATGGTGTTATCCCACATAAGAACTCTAGTTCTTGCTTAGTGACCTCAATAATGTCTGCAAGATTCCAGAATTGCTGAATGTACAAAATAGTTTCCTCCCTAGAGTGCCACAGTGGCATAGGAAGGTTTAGATCGTAGAAAACAAACCCTCCAAAATGCTTTGAAATCTTAATGGCTTGCAATGTAGTTGACCTCATATTTCGATCAAGCAGAGAATGTGTATTGAAGTAGAACACTTTTGCCTGCATGACATGTATTTAAACTCTTAAAGTACTGAATAGCAAACACATGCTTTATTCAAATGTGCACATGGCTGTAACTAATATGGTATACCAACAAAACAGGTGATAAAATAATTTAGGCTTAATTGCCCTAATG